AAAAAAAAAAAAAAAAAAAAAAAAAAAAAAAAAAAAAAAAAAAAAAAAAAAAAAAAAAAAAAAAAAAAAAAAAAAGTCATTAGCCACATTTAACATTTTAACACATTGCACAAAGAGGAATGGATACTTGCAAAATACAAGAGTGAATACTGAGAAGTATATGTCATTGTTTGTCCCAAAAGATACGAAAAGAAAACTTTGGCAATCTTCAAAATAATAAAGATGCTTGTGACATACCCCTGCCACCGGTCCTTCTCCAGGTGGATTTCTTTCGTGAACCCCTACAAGTTTAAGGCTCAAGTCAATCAATCATTCATTTTGACATCTGACATTCAAGAAGAAGATTGATTATAGACAAGTGAAAGGTATATTTAAACACGAAAATGCCCAAGATCCTATAGGATTACAAACACCTCTTAAATGAAAATTCATACCTCTCTCAGTACAAGAAGTTATGGGAATGCCCTCAAGATAAGAACCACAGAATAAAAAAGACAATGAAAAAATGCTTTTAGTTCCGGTGTATCTACTCTCTTGGCCAATAAGAAAAATTGTTATCGAATGTACAAGACTCCCTGTAGGAGTTATGATGAACTGACAGTCTGTGAGATTTTGTTTCTAATGATCTAGGTTCAATCCCTTTATCAAGTGGAATTAAAAAGTATACCTTAATGATCATATCACAAGATGCCTGCAAGTGAATGGCCAACCTAAGTATTGAAAAACAATAAAAGTAAAAATAATAGCAGGCATCTAAAGACAATATTTTGTTGCTTATAGTTGATCAAGTTTACAATTTATCTCCATAAGTCGAAATTCCTACCCTCATCCCAACCTTTTTCATATGTCAAATAGTACACTGATAAAGACAAAAACGGCTCTCGGACAGAAAACCAAACAAGTTTCATGTGAATGAATGGAGAAGCAGTATAGAACAACAAGCAAGATAAGTATTTCAAAAATAGACCCTAGACCTGCTTGGTAAAGTAGCCAACGGCATTATTGTCCGCATATGTGAGGAAATGGGTTAGGCCATCAACATCACGTGCATGCTGCTTTAAGTGATTCATCAATCTGGTACCGTATCCTTTTACTTGCTCATCAGCTGTAATTGCACAAAAGGCTATCTCGCCAAATTTTTGACTGCAATAGAAGGTCACCAAGAAGGAAGGAAGAGAAGTGAGGGGAAAAAAGAAAATGAAGTCAAGAGACTGGCCCCCAACTTAATAAAGATCCTACAAGTACCCTAAAAACATCAGTGTTGACTTCACTGTTCAATAAGGTTCCAGCATAAGATAAAGAAATAAATAAATATTCTAGTTCATCATTCATTATTAAGGCCCGTTCGATATGCAAACATTTCTGCTTTTCTATTTTTGAAAATCATGGTTGTTCCCTCACCATGGTTTTCACCTCTCTTAATCATTTGAATTCTTAGTCGAATTTTAAAACAAGTTTTTAAGAACTTTTTTTCTTTTTCAAAACTTCGCTTCGTTTTTTTTATAACATTTCTAGAAAATGGATAACAAAACATAGAAACTTTGGAGTGAAAGTAGTATTTTATTAGCCAAATTTTCAAAAACTAAAAATAAAAAACCAAATGATTATCAAACATGACCTAAAATATTCTGAACTTCACCATCAATAATTGGAATTAAATAACTTTTTATTATCTATTCATCAAAAAAACAAAACAACACAGAGATTTTTTTCCCTGGAGCTTACGATACATGAGAAGGGAAGAGAAGCCAAGCAAATTTATTTTACACATAGCATGCAGTAAATTCAAGACTCAAATTCTTCCTTAGGGCTGGGTTGCGTTGCAGGTTGAAGAGATGCCATAGCACAAAAACACGTTACTACATCCAATACCAATTACTGTTCTTTTATTGTTTTTCCTTTGTTCTTTTTTTGTTTGGATAAGAGACATAGTGATGACAAAGGAACCAATATCGCTCTACAGACAAGTAATCCAATTATTGTCCTATAAACAAGTGACCAAAAACAAACGAACGTCAACATAAAGATTCACACACAAATAGAATGACACAAAGAACTGCAGTAGGGATGTAAACTGAACCAATATTTCAAATAAAAGGGACAAGTTGAAATAAGTTAGCCTCACATAAGATAGCAGGAGGTTATGTTTGTGTGTGTGTGCGTTTTTATTTATTTTTTTACTTTTTGCATCCAGAAATTGGCAGATACATATTTTTTTTCTTTTTTTCTTTTTTTAACAAGAAACCAATCAACTTTTTTGGCAGATACAACTGACTAAATGGTAGCTACATCATCAAAAGCACCTGACATATGGGCGATACGTGATGCCACCAACAACATTATTTCGTCTTATAACCATCACCGACTTGTGGTTTCTGCAAGTTCAATTTTAGAGGAAATTACAAACCAAATAAATGAACAATAATGTTCAAGAGTATTTAATAGCAGATTGACAAATGACTTTCAGTACTAAATTAATCCCAGTCATTGGGCTTCAATAAACGATGGGTTTTAGTAAAAGTCAAAATCCAAGAAGACCATCTAACTTAGCTTTACCTGCGCAACAATTTAGGTCCCATTTAATAACCTTTTGAAGACTCTGTTTTTTGTATCTACTTTCTACAAATGTTTTCAAAATCCAAGCTAAGTTTTGACACTAAAAAAAATAGTTTTCTTTTCGTAAGGAAAAAAATCAAATGTTTTTTTATATTTAAAAACTTGTTTTTTATTTTGAAAATGGCTAAGAATTCAAATGTTTTCTTAATAAAGATGGAAACTACTGCAATGAAGAAAACAAGCCCAATTTTAAAAAACTAAAAAACTCAAAGCAAAATGGTTAACATACTTGACATTAATAATTCATAGCAGAACAGTTCGAGACAAATGAGAATTGTGTATAAAGCTGTAGCAGACTTCGTCAGCTATTTTTATATGGATTATAACTTGAAAATTGTTAGTTTTCCTGTTGTCCATGCCAGAATATGCACAAGATTGACTATTTTGGAGGATTAAAGCGTCGGAGAGAATTTGGAGACTTTGAGAGATGTTTTGAGAGAAATCAAAGTCTACGTGAGTAATAAAGATCTTAGGGAGGGGTCGTGAGCTTATCACTTGAGCGTATAACGCCTGCACTGTAGGACCAACAGAAGGCCAAAAAATTCAAGGTGGAAGCACCATGATGCAACCACGAAGTGCCATGGCATGGGCAGAAATCATACAGAAGCCTAAAATCTGGAAGGAAAGTGTCATGGTGCTCACGTATGGCACCACAGCAGTATGATTTTGGAGTCCGCCTTATATGAGGGTAACGGCATGGCTAGTGCTAATGCTTTTTTGTTGGTAATAAAATGAGGGTTGTCTAGTAGGGGGAGGAAATCCATTGAAGAAGGTGCAAAGAAATCATCTAAATAAATCCCTAGAAATTACGTAAGTATACAGATAACTATGGAGGTCAACTACTTGAGATTACACAAATATCGTTAAATGAAGGTCATTCCTTCAACACTCTCCCTCAAGATGAGGAATAGATATCATCCATTCTCAGCTTGGATACTAACTTGTGAAATAGTAGTTTAGGTGATCTCTCAGTCGATGCGACTTCAATTCAGCAATTGCGACACCAACAATTTTGATTTCAACATGTCTTCGATGTGAAGATGTGTTATCTCAGGCATGCCAAGGCACAACTTCAATAGTAGCTATGAAGGTTCTGAATAAATTTGGTCAGTCGAAAAATCGGTAGCTAAGAAAATTCCAAATAAATGTGGTCAAGGTGGAAGGTGAGAAGTTATGAAGGCCCCGAATAAATGTGGTCAAGGTAGAAGACCGGTAGCTACGAAGTTCTACCAATTAATCAGGCCTCCTTAATCAAATATCTCAAGGCAAGAACACTTGATTGAGATTCGAATTAGTCCACAAGCAAGATCGATCATGTCAAGCTTGAATGAATCTAAACATGCAATCTAAACATAGCCTTTGACTAAAAGAAAGCACAAATGCTCTTTTTACTACATTTTTCAAGTCTTCATTACAAAGACAACATAAATAGTTTTATATAGCCTCAAAGAAAAAAACCCATACTTTATAACCAAAATTAGCAATTACGTAAATGTAACTTTAAAATAAATAAAAAGTCTTAAAATACATTAATGAAATATAATAACTCTAGATTATCATGTACTCAAAATTTGTAGCCATTCAAGAATCTTCCTTCAAGTTCATATTGCATAATTGAGATGTATTATAGTTCATATCACAAAATCAAAGACCTTAGTTGTCTTTGCTGCTTTTAATTTTTCCTTGGGGAGTTCGTATCCCTTCAACTTTTAATATTTTCATTAAATCAAGCCTCATTTTCTCACCACCCAAAAAGATAACATGTAGCAATTGAAGGTACCTGTCCATAACAAGACGAACAATGTATTCCTTGGGCATGTTAGGTAGTTGTCGGGCGAAAATATTCTTCAGTCCAATTAACCTGAGAAGTTCCACGTAAAATGCATTTTTGCATCAAAGCTTTTATTACATAAAATGAGATCACATCGGAAAGCATACAGCCTACTGTAGGGGTTAGACTAGAGGTGAACGTGACATCTAAAGCACGAAAAACCCTCAAAGAATGTTACAGAAGAAGGAATTGCATGCAGAATAAGACTTAGGCAAAGGGAAAAAAAAAATACCAAACCATATGCTCATCAACACCGTCATTTGAAAGGCATACAAATTTGAGTAACAATGCTTCCTCCTGAAACATTATGAATTGAGGAAACCATCAGTACTACAAAGTTGAAGTCCCCCTTAATAAATTCTCTGGCAATGCACAGAATCAGCAAGCTTAAAACAAGCTCAGATTTCATTAACTTCAACAAAATGGACATAATGCAGCTGAATTTAATGATCAAATATATTAATCTGTTTGTCTTTAATCGTATTACAAATAAATATACCCAAAAGAATTCAAAATTTAAAAATAACAGAAAAACATTTTATCAACCAGTGAAAAGTTACAGAGTAAGGTCCGATAGATGACGTGTTACAAACTACACATTGGCACACATAAAAACCAACTCCAATTTGTTTTAATTACAAAGGTAGTATACTGACAAAAATCACAATCCATAAAAACCTAAATTGAAACATGAATTTAGCTAACTAGTATACTTTTATCCAATCTCTGTGCCTTTCATTGAACAAGCAATTCTTTTCAGCCAAATAATACAAAGATCAACTCAATTGAATTTACCTATAGCTTCCTTGCTTTACTCTTAAAAGGAAATAGGGAAACTGCAGAAGAGTTCAAACATCTATAGAACTCCAAAGCGTTTAGCTTAAGGGGCTAAGGAAAAGGTGGTTATTCCCTTAACTTGCTATTAAACAGAGTGAGCAGTGAGATGGATTCAAGGGCACATTAAGACATCAAATAAGAAATCTTTATGATGTATTTACCCTCAATGCTTCCCAAATATTATACCACCAATCACGAAAGCACTATCAAGTAAGGATAGATTGATAGTCCCCCTACCCCCGAATAAAAAACTAAGTAAATGCTTCCCTACCTTTTCTTTGACAAACACCAACGGAGGAACACTAGTACTGCCCCATGGGTCTCTTTACCTATTGGATTAGGGATAATATTCTTGGCAAGTGTGAAAGAAGATGCCTAAAATCTGGCCACATTTTATGTTGCTTCCAATAAAGATACTCAAATTTCCTCCAGTGGGATTAAAGAAACAAATTTCTAACGTCCCTTTAGGTGAAGGATTTCTCCATCTATAGCATGTAATCATCAGGCATCATATCTTGTTTGCCTAAAGAATATGTTGCTTCTATGGCCTTCCGAAAGGACCTGCAAGCACTCCCCAACTTAAAGTCCACATACCAGTAGGATGTAGATTAAACCCTCTACTCTCCCACTTTCCTCTACTTCAACTCTACCTCCCCCAAATATCTCATCAAATGAGACACTAAATGTTTCGGATGCCACTTCGATAATCTGAGTTTCAACTGGTCAAGATTGTCATAGGTTCAAATTCCCAACCTTGTTTGCATTGTAATACTCTTGGGGAAAAAGGAGAAATAAAAATAAACCTCAGGTGGGTATGGCAAGCGTTCCCCACTCCTACCCCTTTTCACTCACGCCACCTCTCTCTCGCACTCGTCCCTCCATGGATAAATAAATTACTGTTCTAAACAGCATAAGACAGGGACTTGGCCCAAAATATAGGATTACAGTTTGGTCCAGAAGACATACCTCTCTCTTCAAGCTCTCTTCTCTGGAAATATAGGCACCACTAGTCTGTATACTGTCGGCGAAAATTTTCGAAGTGTCTTCCTTCACTACAATCCCGGACACAGAATTTCCTGTTGTCCCCACTGTTGGACCCGCAGCATTGGTTCCACCAGCCGTGACTCCATCCTTGCTGATATTCGAATTCTCGATCTTCACCGTTGCATTCGACTTGATCTTGGTTGTACGCGCAGCAGAAGCCGAAGCAGAACCGCCAGCACCGCTGTTCTCAAGTCTAGCAGCAGTGAAGTTGCGCATGGAGGAATCATTGTCAAAGTCATCCTCGTCGTCCTCGACGACAGCATCATCGGAATCGTCGTCCGAGTCGGAGTCAGCGCCACCGCCGCGAGCAGATATGCTTTGAGAACTACGGGAGGTGGCGGAGGCGGAGGGAAAGGAAGGAGAAAAGGATGGAGGGAAAGGAGGGACGTGGTCCTCGGAGGCCAATTTGCGCTTGTGGATGGAGGAGGTGGCGGAGGCGGAGGCGGAGTGGGAGGGGGAAGGGGTTTGAGAACTACGGGAACGATTCGTACCAGTGAGGTAAGCGGAGTGCGTATCCATTGGAGAAAATGGCGCGGAAGAAGCAACTCCGGTTGAAAAGTGGAGCTAGGAGACAGAAGCCTTATGAAGCTGGCTGGGGCTTTGTTCTGGTCGACGACGCATTGCGATCTTCTTCGGTAACGGCGGTGACTGCAGTCGCACAATGTAAATTGACATAAATACCCCCATACCCCAGCAATATATATATTTCACTTTATCAATTAACTTAATGAACTTAAAAGATAAAATAAAAAAATCTCCCAACGGCATTAAAAAAATATTTAATAATATACTCTAATTTATTTTCCATTTTTTTATATAAATAATTTCCTTAATTTTAATTTTGCGTCATTCGTTATCCTTGATTCGTCAGCGTTATCTCCCTCCAAATCGACCTCTCAATTTAGTCCTCTTTCCCATCGCTGCCGGTAGTTCCACGGTGGCCGGATGCGCAACACCACGCTGGCTGTGCACTCTCATCACGCTCGTCTCGCTCTCACGAAGGTTCATTCCACACCAGTAAGCCCCCTCCTCTATTTTTCTTTTCTTGTTCGTATTTTCGTCGTGTATGAAAGGAAAATGAAAGTACTAAAACTTGTTGCTGCTGAAAGAAGAATCAATAGCTGATACTAACTGCTGCTAGAACTGTGTCATTTCTGTTAGGTGCTTAGCAAGATATTATATGTTTGTGTTTCATGTGGAGTGTGAATTTTTGTATACCAAAATTCATTTTGCTAGAAGCTGATTGATAGAGAAGATTGAAGGAAGGGGTCGAAAGAAGAATTGGAAGTAATGTCTGCGACACTATTGTCTTATTGCAATCCAAGGTTAGATTGTAATTACGGGAGGATGAATACGGAACGCACTGCATTCGTACACTTGCGGCCTATTGGAAGGAGAAGCAATGGGTATCGCAAGCTTACTGTGTTTTCCGTTACTGAAGGGTCTGCAAAATCGAGCGAGTCTGAAGAAACAATCCCTTCCTGGGCTAAACCTGATTCGGAGGAGCCTCCTCCTTGGGTAAGGGAGGAAGGCAAAGAAACTGGATCCCAACTGGGATTTCAGGTCCCTTTCTACGTTTACTTACTCGCCTCATCTATCACTGCAATTGCCGCTGTAAGCTTTCCTCTCACCACAGACTTGTTTATGGAATTTTGGATATGTATTCTTGTTCTAAGGGCCAGTTTACTCAAATTTAAGTAGAAACAAACGACATTATTACCTCGCTTTAACAGTCTTTTATATGAAATAAGGAGAGAACAACATTGTAAGAATTTAAACTTGAAACTCAAAAGAATGCAGGCTTCTGCGGACTGAATTGTGGATAGAATCGACCATTTTTTTTTTTTTCTTGGAATGAGTCCATTAGCTTCTTGGTAACTATGGCATATTTTAACTGGTTGAACTGTTAGTTCTTCAGCAGCAGCATGTTGACACATGTAATTCATTTATTTGTTCAGCAGCATATGATTAAGCTACAGATACTAATTCCAATTGAAACTGTTTGTTTGTTTGTTGGAACTACTTCCAACTGTGCAGATAGGCTCAGTATTTGAGTACGTCAACCAGAAGCCTGTGTTTGGAATCATAAACTCAGACAGCATATTTTACGCTCCATTGCTTGGATTTTTCGCATTTACGGGCATTCCCACTGCTGTAAGTTCTACCATCTCCATTTTTTTGACATTTGTGAAGGGCTTATCACATCTCTTGGTATGCATTTATCATACCATGAAGCTACAACATTAGTTTCTGCGGTCTATATAATGAAGATAAATGCATTTATCCATCTTTCTTTGGGGGGATTCAGAAAATTGAATATAAAAAAGAATTAATTTGCAGAAATAGGAAGTCCCACTTACAAGGCTCTCTCTCTCTCTCTCTCTCTCTCTCTCTATCTATCTAATTTGTCGAGACAGGGATTCCTTTGGTTCAAATCTGTGGAAGTTGCCAATAAGGAAGCTGAGGATCAAGACAGAAGGGATGGTTACTTGTAGAACAATTGTTGTCCTTTGGATGTAACGATGCTGTTTATATTACTTCTTTGTGAACTGTATATTCCCTGTGAGCATGCTACACGGTGCCACCGATGTTCTCAAAACCAGACTTCCCTGTGATCAACTATACTGCAAATAGATACTTTGCTGCACCAATTCAAAGACTCTTTGACATATTCTCTCATTCTTGAACAGCCTGACATATTCTCTCATTCCAGAGTCCGAGAGACTTGTGAGCAGACTTCTCGAACATACTTGTATCATATGCTTCATTGTCTTATATATATATATATATATATATATATATATATATAAGGTTATTTGAGCATGATAGATTGAGTTTTTGTTGTCACTTTTCAGTAGCGTGGCTGGGGTGGCATAAGAACTCTAAGGACCTTGTGCTTTTCTTATATAACATCCATATGAGGTAGAACCGTATTATACATTTACCATCTCTTGCTCTGTGCCCGCGTTTGCATCATATATATATATATATATACCACTTAAACACTATTTAACTTTTAAAAGTTTCAATAACATCTTTATACTATTTAAAAATAATAATTCAAATAATCATAAACATTTGCCAATACTTTATTTCAAAAATATATATTATTTTTTTGGAGCTTTGAAAAGGTTTACTAAAGTATTATCTACTAAAAAAAAATCAAATATGTCTAAATTGGGGCGAAAATAATAAATAAATAAACAGTTAAATATGCCTAAATAGTCTGAAAGAATAGATTGGGAAAATTTCATATGAAAACATGATACATGCCTAAATAACTGGAAAAAATAAATATATGAACTTCTTTTCTGAAATTAATACTGGGTTTTAGGATATTAAAAATGGAGCCCGAAATTGGAGGGGAAGTTTCTAATTGGGCGCCGATTATGTTTTGACCCTCCGATTTCAAAAGAATAAAGAGTATTATGGTAGTTTCACCTCGTTTGCTGACGTCACCAGCGCTATTAAAACAAGGTTTCTGAAACGGAGTTATTTTCGTAAGCCCAAAACAAAATGGGCTATTTCCAACAGTTAACCATTTTGCAAATGACAATCTCATTTCTCTTGCAAATTTCCATTTTCCATTCGGATCGCGTTGATCGGTTAAAAATGTTTGCCTAAGCTGACACTTCCCTCCATTTTTCTCTCAGTTCCAATTTTGGTTTGTCGATGTTCGCAAAACGACTAGTCTTCCGCCGACGGGCATCTGCATGCTGACTGCTAAACATTCTTTGATCCTACTCGGAGTAGAACTTAATTACTCATCTGACGGTGTTAGATTTGGCTTATGCTTATGCTGTCTACCCGAGCATTGGTAAGAGATGCCAGTAGCGAAGCCGGAGTCATCAGATGCCAGAATCATCGCTCACGTCGATATGGACTGCTTCTACGTTCAAGGTTATAATTCTCTTACTCTCCTTGTCGTACGCCCATTCTTTGAACTATTTAGAGATATACCTCCCGAAATCTACTTCCACGAACGAATGCTGATATTTCTTAACTACCCTCAAATTTGGATTCCGATACTGGGGGACATCGAAGTTCACAATTTGGTATAGTGTTTAGCATTCTGCTGATCTAGTCGATATCAATTTCTAGAATAACTGCTTGGAGATACAGTGGAATCGCGCCTGTACGTCTTTACTCAGTCAAAGGCCACTCTGTAAACAAAAGCAGAAGCTTGTAGAGGCTGTATTCACAGTGCGTTATTTATGCGCAAAATGCTCTGGAAATTATTGGTAATAATGCGATTGTCTAGATGTCCATAATAGGAGAACTTTCGTAGATACGTTTTTGGTTGAGTGGAAGAGTGGGCTGATATTTGGTATAGTGCTTTATCATGGGCCTGAGTTTTCCTAAACTTGGGAGGTCGTATTATTTTAGCTCTTAAGTAATTTTCTACAGTCTTGCTCTTTGGTATTTTGTTGGGGCTGCTGTCTAGCCTCGTGGTATCTCGTGGCTTTTTTATTTATTTTCTCCAATGGAAGTTTTCTCGATCAGAAGAAGAGGAATAAATTTTATCCTAGAATCACTTTGCAATATGGTTTCTGGTTCTCGCTGGGGTGTTAAGTTCCTTGATAAGGATTAGTATGACAGGTAGGAGTCATGGATCTTAAATTTTCCTTATTTTCCTTCTGTGGGAATTAGTAATGTATGATCAGGGAAGTTATGGAAAATTATCTGCCATAGACAACAATTTTGTATAGTTCTCTCTCTCAAGTTAACTGTTATCATTTCTGCAGTTGAGCAACGGAAGCAGCCACATTTAAGGGGTGTACCTACTGCTGTGGTTCAATATAACGCATGGAAAGGTGGTGGCTTGATTGCTGTCGGCTATGAAGCACGCAAATTTGGTGTGAAGCGGTATAGACACTTCTTCCCCCAAGTTATAATTTATTCTCTTCAACAGTCTAATAAGCTTCAGATCAATGCGAGGGGATGAGGCAAAGAAAATCTGCCCTCAAATTCAGCTTGTTCAAGTTCCTGTGGCACGCGGTAAAGCAGACCTCAAGACATACCGGGATGCAGGTTCAGAGGTGAGTAGTATCATTTGTACATTCGGTGTTCTCTGTTACCAAGGAATGTTGACATCTAAAAAATTAATAAAATTGTAGGTTGTTCGTATTCTTTCAAAGAAGGGAAGGTGTGAGAGAGCATCGATTGATGAAGTATATCTTGACCTAACTGATGCTGCCGAAGCAATGTTAGTTGAAACTCCTCCGGAGAGCATGGAGGCTATTGATGTTGAGGCTCTAAAGTCTCATGTTTTAGGTCTTGATCAAACGGTCAGATACAATCTATGAGATTTCTTCATTCCTGATCTCCTTCTTAAAGTCATTACTGAGATATCTACTGATGCATTAAAAAAATGGTAATTGTTAGATGCCAATTTGCATTATAAATTTTGACTATTTACAGGACACGTTTTTTGTTCTTTTTTAAATAAGAAACAAAAGATATCATTGATATAATGATAACTTCATAAGAAAGTGGCTGAAAGCCTATAAAATCCAATGGAGTTATAAAAAGACTTTTAATTGGCACAATTATGGGACTGGTCATAATCATAAAAGGTTTTATCCAGGATACTCCCACTTGAAAAGACAAATATAAAATCTACCAAACAGAAAATTTCTCCTCTTTCAAACCTAGGAAGTTTCTTCTATTCCTTTACTTCGGAAATTCTCAAATCAATGTTCCAAAGATCTTTTTTTTTTAATCTTTGGACTTTGAACACACAATGATTTGTAAGAAACTTCTCATGACAAAGTGTTGAAGAGAAGATCAGAGAAAACTATAGGGGGTTGAGGTGAAAATATTTTCTACCGATCTTATCCTCCTAGGACTTTATCCTCCTCTTCTTTTTCCAAAAGACGGCTAAAGCTGTATGCCCCAGGTACAAATATCGAAGGAGGAAGAGAATTCTTTTTCTTACACCTCTTGAAACTCCGCAATTTACCTCTTGTTCTTCCTTTGATTATGGTAGAGAGGTTAACACTTCATACAATATCACAAATCCCATTTTCTGAGGTTGATTTCAACTTCTTGGTTACCAAGCACGAATAGGTTTAATTTAAACTACCATAATGTTTGAGAATGCTGCCTTTAAAACCATCCAGGGTATTTTGTTTGAATCAAGGTCCTTCACGACTTGAAGACCTCCTCTGTGGAAAAGGGGAGCTGATCCTTTGTTGCTTTAAAACAGTTATTTTTCCGAAGGATTTCTCCGGTGAGAACTCTATTTCCATAATCTTCAGGGATTGATCAACATAAACTTTAGGGGAATCTCTGAGACTAATAATTTATTTCTTGTACGCATATGTTTTTTCCCTCTTCTTTAGCATGGTATAAAGAGGATATTTTTCTTTTCCAACTGTACTATTAAATTTTTAAGAAATTAAATCTACTTCTTAATGCTGATAATATTGGCTATGAACTGGCTTCTTCATCAGCTACAGCATACAATATTGAAATTGGTTTTGAATCAGGAACAAAGTGATAGCCAAGAATGTGTAAGGATGTGGCTTACGAAGAGTGATTCAGATTATCGTGATAAGCTGTTGGCTTGTGGAACTCTCATTGTTGCTGAACTGAGGATGCAAGTGTTGAAAGAGACCGAGTTTACTTGTTCTGCTGGAATTTCTCATAACAAGGCAGGATGGAACTATTTGTTCATACTGAATCCTACTTTTATTCAAAACCATCTTTTAATTGACATCATTTTCAATTATATATGAGATTGTGAGTAGATGCTGGCTAAACTTGCGAGTGCCATGAATAAACCTGCTCAACAGACTGTTGTGCCCCACTCCTGCGTGAAAGGCTTGCTTGATTCCCTACCAATAAAAAAAATGTAAGTTTTCATATATCATATCACACTAACGATATGTTACCATTTAATTTAACCGAGTCAGTTCTGAAATTTTATGGCAGGAAACAACTTGGTGGAAAGCTAGGGAGTTCTTTAGAAAGTGACCTTGGTGTGAACACTGTTGGAGATCTGTTGAGGTTTCCAGAGCAGAAGCTACAAGAACGTTATGGATTTAATACTGGGTATTTTATAAATGAATTCAATCTTGGATCTTTTGTGAATAACTATTAACTACAATGAAACAAGAAACAGGAAAAGTCAGACAAAATGAATAAAGGCTCTTATTTGTAATTTCGTACTCTGAAATGTTTTGGTCTTCTAAAAAAAGAAGAATAATAAAGGCTCTTATGTTTTGTAGGATTGTCCGTTTGTCTTATCACAATAGAATAATTCACTTTTTTGTTTTTTTTAGTACTTGGTTATGGAATATTGCCAGAGGAATCAGTGGGGAAGAAGTACAATGTCGCCTTCTTCCCAAAAGCCATGGTTCTGGGAAGAGTTTTCCTGGCCCCCAAGCTCTGAGAACAATTTCTTCAGTAAGATTTAGCTTTTATTTTTTAAATTTTATTGAGGACATCAATTAGATTTACATTCCCGTTGTTTGGTCGTTTCTTCTTTTGTTTCTGTTTTTTTTTTTCTTGATGTCAGTGTGTGCTTAGGAGGATGGATAATCTCCTTTATACTGCACATTGATTAAGGTTTTGATGTAAAGTGCTTTGAGTGTTGACGCTGAATATTCTAAATAAATGTTACCATATATTCAGTTAAATCTAATTGCTATTTGTCTATTTCTTCTATTTTAATG